TAGCAAATCACCGCTTTTTTCCAGCCATTGTCGTCGCTTCTCAATTTTTTTCACACTGGGAAGGGAGAAAAAACGATAATTATCCCTAGAAGATGCTTTGCAATTTATAATTGCATACGATTTAATCATTTTACATGAATCAACTCGCACACTGTTCAGATCTATTGGAGTACTTTTTGGAGCAGACATAAACAAACAACATTCGCGAGATATTTTCGCGCGAAAAATAAATATTGTTCAACATTGGACAAAAATGCATTTTCATTTTATTTTTAATGCTATTATATTGAGCAGTGATTTCACTCTCAATCTTGGTAATTATTTTCAGTAAAAAAAGAAAGAATTCACCTATTATAAGATAAAAATCACCCCATTAATGAAAGAGTGAGCGGGCCATTGACTATTAAAGAAATAGTACATGAAAAACCAAGAATATATTTGCATTTTTTTATTTTTCTTCGCATTGTACATGTAATTTCATACGGGGCTAATTATTTTGACTTAAAATATCAATTTCATAACGTTCCCTCCAGCAAAAAAAGTGCCAGTGGTGGGAGACTAAAGGAGATGAGGGGAAGCGTAAGTCGACCGGAACGCCGCTTCTGGCGCTCCGGCGAACTTGTCCCCTGTTTTCTGGCTTCATCATACCTGCTTGTTTCATACCTTAATCTCTTTGTTCTGGCAGTGGCTCCCTCTGCAACTCTCCAATCGATCTCACGATTGTTTTATGGAACGTGTCAAACGAACTGTGGATTTAATAGTTTTTCCTAATAAATTTATAAAAACAAGTGAATAAAAGCTGAAGTACACTATTCAACATACGATCAAACCAAAATACTCATGAAAATAACCACCTGAGGCAAGAATTCCTGCTGCTGCAATCAACAATCTTCGACAACAAAACTTTCTCAACAATTGATCTTCAAAATATCCAGAGTTAGAGTCTAACCAAATAAACGATCTCATTCCCCTCGAAGGGGCTCTCAAACCCCCGAAAGTGGAGAAAAAAAATCCAATCGTGCTTCGCCCCCGACGACCAGAAAACCTAATCCCAGGAGCTTCTCTACCCATTCCTGATCGACATAAACGATATAAACCCTTGATATGATCGTAAGTGTGGGGTTTCCAGAGCTGGTGCAGAACCCGCCAGGTGTCATTGGAAATATCAAACGCAGCCGTTTAATATTAATCAGCCATTTGATGTTAAATACTCTTCACAACAGCCTCTCGACAAATAGTTTTCTCGGAATTGAAGGAGTAAACAACCTCTCTTTGTTCTGTCAGTGGCTCCCTCTACAACTCGTCAATTGATCGTTATATGGAACGCATCAAACGAAGTGTGAATTTTAATAGTTTTTCCCACTGAATTTACAAAAACAAGTGAATAAAAGCTGAAGTACATTATTTAACATTCGATCAAGCCAAAATAACTCATTAAAATAATCACCTGAGTCACGAATTCTTGCTGCTGCCATCGACAATCTTCGACAACAACACTTTCTCAACAAATGATCTTCGGAGCATCCTCCAGAGTTAGAGTTTAGCCAAATACACGATCTCATTTTCCTCAAAGTGACTCAGTCCCCCGCAAGTAGATAAAAAGGTCCAATCGTGCGGATTTAATAGTTTTTCCTGCTAAATTTACGAAGACATGTGAATAAAAGCTGAAGTACAGTATTTATTAACATTCGATCAAACCAAAAAACTCATGAAAATAATCACCTCAGTCAAGAATTCTGGTTGCTGTCATTGACAATCTTCCACAACAACACTTTCTCAACGAATCATCTTCAAAGTATCCCCCAGAGTTAGAGTTTAACCAAATAAGCGATCTCATTCCCCTCGAAAGGGCTCTCAACCCCCCCGGAAGTGAAGTCATCTAATCCCCGGAGCTCCTCTACCCTTTCCTGATTGACTCTAAAGTTATTGCAGAACGTCCCACAATCCTCTGCACTGATCATATGAACTCCCTGGATTCCACCAGAACCATGGAAAAGATCGAAAAAGAAGAAGACGAAGACCCAACAGAAAATGATGATAAACTTGAAGAAGAATCATCTCCTGATCAACTCTCCCAGCAGCTCAGCAGTCTCAGTGTCTCACAGCCTCGAGAGGACCCCGACGATCTCGATGTCCCAGAGATGGTCAAGACTCCATCGACTGAAGAACCAGAAGACATTGCAATCGGTCTGAAGACCATCTCCTCCCAGGACTTGAATTCGATGTGTGAACTGATCCCTGAGGACATCACAGACGTCTGCAGACTCTGTGGAAGGGGCACTGACAATCCCATCCCGATATTCTCGGGGAGTGACGAAGGGGGCGAGCTCAGTCTCCTCGAGAAAATTCGGTACTATCTTCCCATCAAACTCAAGGTCAATGACAACCTCCCGAAGATCGTTTGCCGAGAGTGCAGCCAGCACCTGGATGTGTCCCACGACCTGGTGATGACATCTCTGGCCACAGAAGCTCTTCTGACAGGTTCAGTTCCAAAGGAAGAACTGATTGGGAAGAATGATGCTGTGGAAGGTGTGGAGACTCTTCCGGTTGATTCTGATGTAGTTACGTCCACTCAGGCAGAGGACAAGAAGATTGAGGGAAACTACTCTCAGGAAACTGTGAGCGATGCAGTTCGTCTCGATTGCTCGCAGTCGTCGTTGATCACGAGTGATGATGATGAAGCGCCTTTCACGACGTTCGAGGGATTGAAGGTACTGAGGACTTATGGGAAGAAGAGGCCACTGTCTCAGGATGCTGGGGGCTCTGCTGCTAAGAAGAAGAGGGAGTAACCCATCTTCGAGAAGTGGTGAGTTTAAGGATTTAATTTTTCGGGACATTTCAACACCCCAGAAGTTTTTTTAATACTTGTTTTTATGCTTTGGCATTGATAAAAACGATAATGATTGGACAAATATTATTTTTTAAGCCTTCAAAAGGATAAAATAGCAACTATGAGTTAATTTTTTTTAATTTGACTCCAACACAGCTAATTTCGTTTGTTTTATTTGAAAAATTGCACGATTCATGTAAATTAAACAGCCAGAGAAATGATACTCAGAATATTTAAAATATGTTCTCGATTCTTTCAGAAACATTTTTCTGGCTATTTTACATGAATGCTGCAATTTTTTATGTTAACAAAACCGTAATTAACTGTGTAGAAGTCGAATTTAAAAAACTTAGCTAGTAATTGTTATTGTACACATTCGTTGAGAAAGTTTGAAAAGCTTCTGTAGCTCAAAAGTTGGAGGCCCTGGACTATTTTTAACAATTCAAGCGTTTTTTTTTATTTAACTTCAAGCGTTTGCGAGGCACACGAACAATAAACCTATAATCCACATGTGACCCCGATGATCCTTATCCTGACCTTTGTGACCCTTAATCTGACCCATATGAACCTTAACCTGACCCTTACGGCCCTTATTTTGACCCTCGTGACCCTTATTTTCACCCTCATGTCCATTATTTTGACCCGCGTGACCTTTATTTTGATTCTCATGTCCATTATTTTGACCCGCGTGACCTTTATTTTGACCCGCATGTCCATTATTTAGACCCGCGTGACCCTTATTTTGACCCTCGTGACCCTTAATTGTGGACTCTTAATTTCGAGTACCAAATTTTCCTAACTGCCATGAGCCGATGGGTGGAGTGAGAAAGTCCGATGGGTCAGATGAGAGAGGAGGGGGTCCGATGAACTCTGAAATAAATTAGTATATTGTGTTACAAGTGCGTAAAGAACCACTTTTTCGCATGCACGCGTAACACATCCTATTTTTTGGAATAACTGCCGAGTTCACTGTTCGGAACCGTAGTGGGGCTAAAGTGGTTGATTTTGTGCACGGTGTGCGTAAAGTTCAATCCACTTTACACACGACCTCTGAACTTTACGCACATTGTGCGTAAAACAACCACTTTACACACACTAAACGGTTTCGAAAAGTGAACTTTTCAGGCAGGTATTACAAAAAAAATCATGCGGTATTGAAAACAATATTTTTTTTCTTGGTAACATTTCATTTATTCTCTTCCCAAATTCTGGAAAATTAGAATCGAATTTAGACTTGGATATTGACGAAAAAATATCGAATAGCGATATATTAGTCATCAAAAATATCGGCAGAAAAATGTAAAGCTTCGCTTTACGCACTCCAAATTCACTCTACGCACGACCTTGAACTTTACGCATATTGTGCGTAAAACAACCACTTTACAGACACTAAACGGTTTCGAAAAGTAAACTTTTGAGGCAGGTATCACAAAAAAAATCGTGCGGTATTGAAAACAATATTTCTCTTTTTTCTTGGTAACTTTTCATTTATTCTCTTCCAAAATTCTGGAAAATTAGAAACAAATTTAGACTTCGATATTGACGAAAAAATATCGAATAGCGATATATTAGTCATCAAAAATATCGGTATATCGATATACAATATCAGACGCTTCGATATATCGAGGCGTATCGCCCGTCTCTATGGGGTAGATATTTGGGTCTGCAAGAGGGATTTTGATACATTTCAGATTGAAATCCTTTTTAAATTGATATCAGGTACAAGTGCAACACGTGTGTGGCCTCCACTACAGACCTAGAGACCATAAAATTCCACAAAAATCGACACAGCACTGAGAAAACCTGTTCTCTTCTGGTGCATCTTCTGTGCCACTGAGTTTCCCAAGGAATCCATCTTCTCTTATCACGTCCTGACGGTTCCTAAAAGGGAGTCTCGGGCTCTTAGTCAGGCCTACAAGTGCATCACCTGCCACAGAGTCTTCTCCCTCATGGCAATTGCACTGAGTCACTACCAGGCCAAGTGTGCAGTTCATCCAGTTGAGGAGAATGGCATCAAGAAATGTTTTGAGGAAGTCTACATCAGGTACGCCTACACCTGCGCATTGTGCTGGCAAGGGTTCGCGTATGTGTCCAGTCTGAATATCCATAGGAATCAGGAGCATCCAGGGAATAATCCCAGGGCTAGGGGGATTGAGATTAGGGAGAAGATGAAGAGGGAGAGGATCATGGACATCTTTGGGATCAAGTCTGCCTTTGCCTGCAAATTTTGTGCCAAGATATTCATTTCGTTGGAGAACTTCATGCAACATCGGGAGGAGCATTCAGATGGACTTTTCAGGTGCTCCACTTGCGATGAACCTTTCTGGACTTATGAGGACTTCAAGCAGCATCGGGAGAGTCAGCACGACTACAGGATTGTTCTCAGGGAGGTCAGTAGGCAGCAGCTGGACGAGAATAAACCGGAATCGAGTTTTGAGAGTGCGATTATGGAGTAGTCTCCAGGAGTCGATGAATTTTTTCTCAACTTGTTGACGATTTTAATTGTTTTTGAGGTAACATTGATTCGATTTGGGAGTTAGAGGAGAGGAAAATTATGGTCATTTTGTGGAGTTTGATAGTGGGAATTTAATTAATGTGTGATAAGTCAATTATCCACTTTTTTATTTTCATTTTATGAAATTTGTTTGGAGATTTAGGAAGGAAAATTATAATTCTAGGGATTTCATACGGAGTTACTAAAAATTTCAATTGTTGCATTATGGAGGTTTTGGAGGATTGTATTTGATGGAGAACACGGTGGGAATTAAAATAACATTCAGCTTCGTGGAGTCAACTGGTGAATAATTCTCGAATCATTTTTTTCTCGTTTTTTTTTTTAATTTTATAAAAATAGTCATCAAAAATTAATTTATGAACATGGCTTACAATCTCTTTTAGGTGAATAATTTAATGTTCTTACGTTTTATATGAAAATAAAGTTTAATTATTATTTTTAAAACATCCAATTTTATTTTTTAAATTTCAAAAGTTAATCATGGGGGGATAAAACTAAACTACAGAATTCTCGGGAAATAATGAATGGATCAGTTGAAACAAAAGTCACTTTTGTTGAACAATATTGAAGACAGTATACGACAGCTTCATGCTACATAACGAAAAATCAAAATGAGTGAGCAGCTATTGATAATTATTCTCGGGAGTTTTATAGCGAGGGATAACATTCAGCTTCGTGGAGTCAATTGGTGAATAATTCTCGAATCATCATTTTTTTTTCTTATTTTATAAAAACACTCATCAAAAATTCACTTATGAAAATGGGTTACAATCTCTTTTAGGTGAATAATTTAATGTTCTTATGTTTCATATGGAAATAAAGTTTGATTATTAGTTTTAACAGCTCTAATTTTATTTTTTAAACATCACAAGTTTGTCATGAGGTCATAAACTACAAAATTCTCGAGAAATGATGAATGTATCAGTTGAAACAAATCACCTTTGCTGAAGAACATTGAATGCAGTATACGACAGCTTCATGATCTACAAAGGGAAATCAAACTGTCTGAGTGAGCAGCTATTGATATCTATTTAAAGTCTAGAATAAAAATTTACCGCTGTAAAAGACTCCAGCGAGAGCACCAAAATCTTGCCACTGGTGAAAACGATGGGGTGTATCGTACAATTAAAGATCATCAGAAGGTCTTTCTGCGTTCTCAAGTGAAGTGAAGGCCAATCCATCTTGTAAATAGCTTCACCAATCCCTAAACTCTGATTTTCATTCACCCAAAGAATAAGAGCTAATTTCGATGCATGTCTTACCTCGAGAATGACCTCATTTCCATACCAACAGAAGCAGAAAATTTGATTTACCATGCATAAAAGGTAAATAAGAGCAAATGGCAATTCTGGATTATTCAATGCCATTCCCGCCAATCTGTACACACTAATGCAGATTACGAAACTGCTCACTGCATACTGTATGAATATCACTGTTGAGAAGATTTCATTGGATGACATTGCGAATCTATGAATTAAAGGGAATACAGTTAATTTGGAAAATTGGAAATTGAAAAAAAAATCGGTACAGTAGACTCCCGTTATAGTCGCAGTCGTTACAATTGCATTTCCCCTCATATCAATTTTTTCGTACTGACTTTCAGTTTTCCCAGTCCAGGGGTTGGTATTGACATTGTACATTACATGTCCGTTCCTTGGAAAACAAAACACCGTCCCCCACGTGCAAGTAGAGATGCGAAATGACCGTCATTTTTGTGATTGTGTCATATGACCGTCATTTTTTAATGACCATCTTGTGACGGTCAGGTGACGTCCCGAAATTTCTAATGGCAAATGACGATCGCAAAGAATTTTTGACCGTCAAAAGAGTAAAATAGTAATTTCCGTTACCAAACCATCTATACAGGTGCAAAATGACCGTCATAAACGTATTGTTTTTTGTGACGGTCATATAATTGCTACATAATTGGCATCGTTTATTCGTTCAATTTATTATTGATTATCAATTATTGTTTATTATAAGGATCCTATGGAATAGTCGAAATATATGTGTACAACTGTACAACAGCCTTTTTTAGTTATAAAATTATGAAACATGTGCTTACATATATATTTTTGCATACTCATGAGAGAATGATTACACTTTTCATCTTTGGAACAAAATAAACGAAGTCAAGAGTTCTAAATACTAAAGTAAGTAAACAAAGTCAAGAGTTCTGGTTAATTAGAAAAAAAATAGATGAACAAAAAAGTGTTTCATCTATATAGCTGCAAAATGACCGTCACAGTTTTTCGGCCAATTGTTACCGTCATGGAAAAATTTTGGGGAACGGACCGGCGGTCATTGGGGCATCGTCATGTGACCGTCATTGACGGTCACATGACCACTTTATGCCCGGTCACATGACGCCTTCGCATCTCTACGTGCAACTCTCGCCTTCCTACTTCGCCTTCCGAGGCGAAGGCGAGGATGGCAAGCACGTGGGGGAGGGTGATATGTTCTCTATGGCGAGGTGTATATATTGATTTTCTCGTTGAGGGACCTGAAAAACCCCATTTTCGTGGCGCCGTCCCGTGACACGAAAAATATCGTTCGCGCCTAGTGCCACAGAGGTTTGTGACGAGTGTAAGGTTGGCACGCCAAGCCGAAGGCAGGATTCGGCGGGGAAGGCTCGACGTGCCAACCTCACTCGTAGGAATCCCCAGTGACACTCGACGCGAAATATACTATTTCTGTACTGCTTCTCATGATTTCTCGTCTGGAAATTGGTATTGTATACTTCCCAAACTCGAAAACTTGAACATCACTATAAAAAAATCTTCTCCCGGGCTGCTGCGATGGAGTTTTTTTACTTGTGTGGTTGACCAGTCCTCGCGTTCGGCTCGGACGCCGACGCCACACGAGTAAAAACCCCATCGAAACAGCCCGAAAAATAGTATATTTCGTTACGAGTACGGAAAAGAGTTTTGTGGCTCATGGGATTATATCACTCGCCTTCGGCTCGTACTATAAACCTCCCGCGAGCCAAAAAACACTTTTCCCACGAGTATTGAACGATATTTTTCATCACAATGTGTGGAAAAGGGACGTTTTAGGCACGCGAAGCTACTAGAACAGCCTTGGAAAAAATAAAACCGGGAAAAATAGCCTATAGCCTATAACGACTATAACGGGAGTCTATAGGCAAACTGACGAGTCCGTTCTCTTCGCAGCTACCCGCACTTTGGCTAATCCCCACGCAGATCCATATCTCCCACCTCTGAAAACTAAGGGAACGGACTCGTCAGTCCGACAGTACTGTACTTACTGGAGAATAGTCTCGTGATGCCACACGGATTGCTTCAGAATTTTCCTCTCCAGATCTACTTTAGACAAATTTGATTTTTTCTGCTCCTCTTCGAGATTTGCGGGCATATTTTCACGCCTGAACTTGAAGATTTTCAACTGTGCACCAGTGAGCAGCATAATTCCATGCACCATTGTATCGTAGGCTATGGAAATTATTGCCACTTCGGCGTGTGCTATCACTTGATAATAATAGAAACACCAATAGACGTTATCTGAACTGTAGTTCAATGGTATCCAAGCTTTGAATGGTAATGTACGATCGGGTACATTCTGTATTACTGACGATATTGTTATCATAACAACTGCACACTGGACAATGCAAAAATACGACGTAGCATCGTTCCTTCACAAGTTCAATATCATATAGATGATTCTATGAATTTTATTTCAGATTTAAAAAAAGTTGAAAAAACTACTGAAGTGTGGTGGAAATTTCACGCCATGAATTCTAACTCGCTTGAAAAAATTGTTCATTTTCAAAAAACTCGATGCAACGAGTTGAAGGTGATCTGAAGAGGATAAACAATTTTAAGGAATGTTCGAAAATACGAGGTGGTGATAGCTGAGCGCCGCCATCTTGAAAGCTCTTGTCCAAGCAAGATGGCGGAGCCCGCACCTGGTATTTTTAAACATTTCTTAAAACTATTTATTCTCTTCAGATTACTCTCAACTCGCTCTATCTGGTTTCTATAAAATGAACAATTTTTTTATGCCACATATGAGATTCTTTCACTCCCTTTTGGCTGAGAATTTGTGTTTTTCCCGGATTACAGTAATTTTTTTCAACCTTGAGGCCTCTTAACACGAGCACAACGCGATGTGCAAACCCACCTGATGCGAATATTAATCTTGGTTTGAATCTCGTCCTCTTCTTGATTCTTACTTCGACAAACGTCGTCATTCAATATTGCAAAAATATTAATGATATCTTTCCGTCGGTTCACCATGTTAAGAGCCTTACAAAATGCATTACCTGTCGTGAGAAGCATGAAAGACGCGCTAACCATCTCTTCAATGTTTCCGAAGTTGCACATTGCATCGACAAATTCCATCAAACCAAATAAATACACAATAACGAGGATAAGAAAGGTGTAACAATCGTATACATGTTTCTTCAGCCCCGATGACCATCTCAGGGGTCTCCATAATCCACCCGCTGTGGAGATCGCGAAAGTGTGAGGTAGAAAATCCATGTCCGCTAAGAGAAGTCTGAATGAATGCTTTATTCATCTTCATGTCTTAAGTGCACGGTTTTTCGAGGGAGAAACAGTAAGAAAGTATTCGTGGAAAGATTGCAAATTGTCTTTCCTGGGAACATGCATCATTGTTTTGAATAAATAAACAGTAACAGATACCCGCTGTAGATCTTTGATGACAGAAACGGAGAAACATGGTCTGTCATTATGGTAAACGATGCGATCGATATGATTGACTCCTAAAATTTGGTGCATCTGTTATTTGCTGGGTTATTTTTGTTGGCGGTTGGCTGTAGCATCTACAGCGGGAAACTCTACATATTGCGTATAGGAGAATTCTATTCAACGTGTTCACATTTTCAACTCGCGAAATCCTGCATTGGTTCACTTTATTAGTAGACAGCAATAAAGTTGCTTACAGTGTGAGAAGAACTAAAATAAAAAATGTGAATTGAAGTGAAATTTTTGCAGCTGTCGTGGCCACACAGGAACTTGAACACTCTTGTTCAAGAATGAATAACACAAGTTTTGTTCTTCAACATCTTTATTGTTTTGGTAAATATTTTCAATAGACTTAATCACAAAAAATTAACAATTTTTTTCAGCGTTCTCACGTATGAAAAAACCGTATAGAAATTTTCTGTACGGATTGCATATAGAATTTCTATAGGATTTTCGTATATGATATTCGGATATTTCTATACGGATATTTTTTACACAAATTATTTCTATACGTTGTCTATAGGTTTGATCGTATACGATCCTCTGCCACATGTATAGAAACATTTTGTATGGAGTTGCGACAGTTTTTTACGTTTTTCTCTGGAGCGTTAGACATCTTTCGAATGAAAACAAATATTTATGTAAAAATTTATGTGTAGATATAATTCGTATAGAAAATATTCGTATAGAAATATCCGAATATCATATACGGAAATCCTATAGAATTTCTATACGTAATCCGTATAGAAAATTTCTATACGATTTTTTCATACGTGCTGATGCACAATTTATCGTCCTCACATTTCAGACATTTATAAAATGAGAAAAACAATTTACGTGTCAAAGCTCTATTAATCCTATAGAACTTACGGTCTTGGGCGAAAGCCGAGAACACCGCAAAGACGCACTTCCGGAGTGCAACGGTAACAATGATGAAACAATGTACGACTTGGAATAAATTTCAATGATTTTTATATAAAACTTAGGGATGTGAAATGACCGTCATTTTTCAATTCGGTCAGGTCAGGCAAAATTGACCATTTTCTGACACCGAGATAATTCCCCATGCAAAATGACCATCATTAACAGCCAGCGTCAAAAATTTAAGAAAATGACCAAAATTCCTCTATACAGGGTGTCCCACAACCGACCTTTTTCCTTGAAGGGTATTAGAGAGGGTGCTTTTTTAAGTGGAAAGTTCGTCTTCCATTTTTGGATTCTAGCATTTTTTTTTGATCTGACTTTTTTTTTGGGGGGGGATTGAACTACTAATTGAACTACTCAGGGGCGAAATTTTTTTTTTTATTATTAAATTTTTTTTGTCTTTTTTTATGGGACATGACCTTGCAACTAATTGACCAGAGAGAACGCAATTTACTCGCGAAATAAATCAGTATGATACACAATTACTTCTGATTGTTCTTAATTTTTATAATTATGTTAATAATTGATGAGTCATTAATTATTTGGGGCTAAATTTATTTTATTAATTCAATAATTTGAAATTTATGTTTTATTTACTTTATTCATTTATTTTTTTATTTTTATTTTTATTTAATATTGCTTTTTTTACATGAAGTACAGACGCATGTACTGAGGGGGGGGGGGGGGATTTGAACGAAAAAGAGGGGAGGTTTGCGGAACAAGTCGGAGCCCACATCACGCCTCCAAAAGGGGGGTGAGTATTTTTTTTTCGCTTTTTGCTTTCAATTTGTAGGGATTTGGAGAAATTGGACATTTCGAGGAAGTGAAAGCCACCCCCTCGGCCGCACTTATTGGGGAAATCAAAATTCCCATACAGTGAGGGGTGGGGGAACACAAAATACTCACCCCATTTTAGACACAAAACATGTGTCCAAAATGGGGCATTTTTTTTTCAATTTTTGTTCTCACTCCGCACGTATTGAGGTAAATGAAACATTTGCGAGGGAGTGAAGTCCCCCCCCCCACGTATCAGGGAGGTTGAAATTTTCACAAGTGAGGGGAGGGGGTTGAGAAATAAGTCCGAGCCCAAATCATGTGTCCAAAAGGGGGGTGAGTATTTTATTCTTTTTGCTCGGTTCGCACGTTTTGAGGTGAATGTACCATTTGTAAGTGGGTAGAAGCCACTTCTAGACCTATCGGGGAGGTTAAGATTGTCACACAATGAGGGGAGGCGGTTAAGAAATGAGTCCGAGCTCAAATCATGGGTCCAAAAACGGGGTTGAGTATTTTTTCTTCGCTTTTTGCTCTCAGTTCGCATGGATTACGGAAAATTGGACATTTTGACGAGGTGGAAGCCATCTCCGCATACATTGAGATGGAAATTCCCATATAGTGAGGGTGGGGGTTGAGGGACGATTGTGGGTCCAAAACATGTGACCAAAAAGGGGGTGAGTATTTTTTTACAATTTTTTGTTCTCACTCCGCACGTATTGAGGTGAATGAAACATTTCGAGGGGGTGAAAGCTACCCCCGCACTTATCGGGGATGTCAAAATTCACATACAGTGAGGGGGGAGAGTTAAGAAATGAGTCCGAGCCCAAATCAAGTGTCCAAAAGGAGAGTGAGTATTTTTTTTTCGCTTTTTACTTTCACAAGGAACACTAGGGAGGTGCTCCCCTCCGATTTCGATGAAACTCATATATGTTGTAGAGGATTCGAAACTAAGCGACACGTATTTTTTTTTATCGGCGGATACGCAGTTTTAAGGGGGGAAACCATGGTCAGAAGGTGACCACTTTTGGGGGTGATATTTCAATTCCACCTATAAGAAGGGAATTTTCGTAAATGTTCATTATGGGAATAAACAGCTCGTAAGGAATTATGAAAATCACAATTGATAGTTCCTCCGGGGTTTGAAATTTGTGGGTAAACTACCCCTGTAAAGACTTCATTTAAAAAAAAAAAAAAACAACTGTGATTCAGAATTTTATGAAACCAACTGCGTTGGATAGAACATAGAAAAATGCGGAATACCTGTTTTTGGTTTTTCCCCAGAACTGGAGTTTTCTAGGGTGAAAAAAATAATTTCCCGGCCACATCATCCACCAAGGTGGTGGGGTTATTTATTCAATTTATCCAACTGATGAATAGCTGGGGAGGAATTATGGAAATCACAATCACTACTCACTCTGAGGTTTCAAATTTGGAGGTTAACTACCCTCATGAAAATTGTGTCTTTCAGAAAAAAAGAATATTGTTCAAATTTGCATAAAACCAATAGTATTCGAAAAAAACATGAAAGAATGCAGCTAGGGGCCGGATAGCCCAGTAGGAAGAGCACCCGATGCAAAAAAATGCGGAAGCTGGTTTTTCATTTTTTTTCTCGAAACTGGAATTTTCAGAGGCGCAAGTTTGATTTTGTCGAATACTATGAATTATTCAAAATATATATATATATGTATATATAGTTTATTAGGGAACATAATTAGTACAGAAATGATATTTATCAAAAAAAATGGTGCATGCAGAGAGACTTTCTGCACCACGAGCATCTAACTACCGCAACATTAGAACAACCATCAACTTCACATTTTGGATTAGAAGATTGTCCAAACGCAAAATCGACAGGATTATCAAATTCCTCTGGTTTTTTTAGCGATGTAGCCACTCTGGAACCAAGCGTAACGAAATAGGTTTTGATACCTCGGTGATGATAATTGATTATGGACTAAAGATTGCAATTTGATCACATTATTCCGCGCATGCAAATTAATGTGAAAATTTCTATTTAATTATACACGCATAAAATCCAATAAGTTCATAGAATTATTAAGGAATTGTATATGATCAAATTGACAACAAATTATTTCGTACCCCATGTTGTTTATTTCTCTTTTTATCACTTGCACTTCCCCAATTACAACCGGGGAATGAGTACACACTCCTCATACTGGCCTTTTACCTTATAATTTGACTTTTATTCCGTAATTAATTAATGTTATAATTCACATTACCCGCAAAACAAAAAGGTAAACAATGAACGTGAACTGGGCTATGACATTTGAATGCATACATGCGATAGTGATTAGGAATCTACTAACATACGCTGTGACATGACGAATGCCATGCACTGTCCTCGCCCGAACCGACCGTGGGTATGGGGGAAAAATTAATAATTATTTCCAGCGAGGAGTCGGATCACCTAGGGCCACACTTGATTATTATTCTTACCTAATGCTCTTTTGTGTGATTCGGACTTTCCACGTCTGTCGATCTCGCCCACCGTGGACGACGCATGAGCTTCAAGATGAGGGGAGTGGAGCGGATCATCACGGGGAACGACAAGCCAGCGAGACAGCTACGGACGATGGCTACACCGACGAGCACACACACACCGAGGTAGGAGACGCAGACCACGACAGAGGTGGGATATATGCTCAACGCACGTCAGCCGGCATCCCAGGCCGCTACGGGCGGACCCCCACCACCGACCGATGGAACGGCGGCACAAGGCCGTTCAGTAAAAAACCGATGCTACAACATCGAGAGAGCATCGGATTATGTTGACTCCTGCGCCGCTCAACGCGGATCATATGCACCGACCGCGAGGCGCAAGTCCCAGCGTCTGGGACTAAGGATGTTGGGAATTAGGACCATTGGAAAATTACCTAAATTGTCGAATCCCCTGGATTTTCGCGCTCTATCACGTGATCGGGTGGGGGGTAGGAGAAATTGAGGGGTTCCTCGGGGTGATGTACCGCCCCGACGAACACTCTTCGCTAGGATACTTTCGTGAGAAGTCGCTCTGCGCAGCAATTTAATTTACACTCCTCGGAGTTATATTCAGTAGT